GACCGATTTCGATGGAGTTTATACGGAAATTTTGGCAATTATTCTTGACAACAATGCACTTTCTTTGAGAACGACATGCACTACATAGTAGTATATATGTACATACATATGTACACACGTATATTCGTAAGTGAATTATGCGAATGGCAATTCTAAAACAAAAATGTCGAAAAAGAACGTCAGAGAATGGGCGAGAAAGTTTGCCGAAACGTTGATAATCTTTCGACGTAGTTTAATTTTTCAAACCAAAGAATTTTTTCAAAATTCCACCTTACATGGTGTACGTTACATAGCCGAGTCCGGACGTCCGGTGGGTGAAAAGTAGGTGAATGTTTATTAAATTCACTAAGAGATTGATGAGAACTTAAAGGAAGGCATAAATCGTTTTTCTTTTTAGATTTATGTGGTTTTGCTTTACATCAATTGGAGCTGTGACTGCTTTAGTGATTATTATGAGTTTATGGGAGAAGTTTCAGACAAATCCCACCATTACGGGTGAGTACAAAAATTAAAAAAGCATATGTAAATAATAGGTATGTATGTAGATGTAGAAGTGCAACATAGATTGTTTTCTGAAAACCACTTACATAAATTTAAAATATTTTTTTCTTCTGAAAATATGTAGTGATAGAAGAGCTAAGTTGAAAAAGTTGCACAATGAATACTGCGCCGTACAATCCTGAGTCTAACGTATTTTTGCAAGAAAATTTCGAAAAAAAATTCATATTTTTTGGCTCATCCTAGGAGTCGCCTTTTTACACTTTTCGCTGACACCTTTGTTCAACAATTTTTTTTTTTATAGTTGTACTAGAATAATCAAAACACTTGCCCTGCAAAAGTTAAATGATTCTTGGAGAGCTTTAATGTACTGGCATTAAGGTGATATGAACTGAGATCTGATAGGTAAGTACTAGAGGTGGTACTCGTGGTCAATGAAAAAAATATCTCCTAAAGACAAACACATCGACTGTAAATGCAAAAAATCACAAAATGTTACCTCTACGTTCGGCAAAAAAAAAAAATTCTGGATTTTCTTCAAATCGAAATACTTCCTTAGCAAAAGTTTAATGATGCATCAATTTTCTGATATTAGGGTGTTACGTTAGGTGGTAGGAAGTGAGATCTGGTGGGCAATTACTTGAGATCAATGAACTTAGAAACATATTTAATTGTCTCCTCAAGACCAAAATATCAAAATATCATACTCTAAGATCCGACTATACTTTCTAAAGATATGGCGAATAATCTGAAAAGAAGACCCCTACGACCCCTACAAAAAATAAAAAACAAAATAATAATATTTTCGAAATAGCCTTGTCGATTAATCCATGTTAAATTAACCAATGGTTATAAGCGACCATGTTTGATTTGGATGAATTTTGGTCAGAACTTTTTTTATCATATAACAAAGTTCTGCCTCAGAAAATTTATTTTTTTTTTGAAAGTTGTGCAAAATTCTAAATTTCACTGTTTTCAGGATTTTGCGATTTAAAACGTTCAAAATTTTTAAATTAAAAATATCTAAAAAGCAAAAACTTGAATAAAATGCAGTTCAAGTTTTTTGATACAATACCTGTTTTTTCCTCAGACATGTAAATATATATTTTTAAACTTTTAAAAAACTATAAATTAAGTTATTTTAAACAATTTTTATTTCATTTAAAATTACTTTTAATTTATAGTTTACAAAAAAAAAATTTAAGTTCAAAAATTCAGTGAGAGATATTGTATAAAAAAAGTTTTCCAAACATTTATTTACATATTCTTGTAGTTTTGAGATTATTTTGTTTTTTAATATATTTGTGACAAAACTGCCTACTCATAATATTCCTAACAAATCTAATTAAAGTGCTCGAACTTAAATAATTAAAATTAAATAATAAAGAAATGAAATGAAAGAACATGTCCATATGTTGGTGGCGTATAATTGTGTTAAGCACTATATATATATATATATGTACTATTACCACAAAATATTAAAATTTTCATCATAACAAATATAAAAATTTAATAATTGCTCTTCATACGCGTAAAAATCTTTACTCACAAGAATCTCTTATTATTTTTTAACTTAGGCTTGGACACCGATTTCCATAACCAAAATGTTGTTTTCCCCACCACTATTGTTTGTCCGGAAATACCTTTTGATCATGACAAGGCCTATGATTTTGCGTACAGAACACTATCGTAAGTAGAAAGTTTAAGTCCATTTCAATTAAGTTTTCATTTGTCATTTCTTTTTACAGGAATTATGACCATCCAACAGCCACCATGATCGCGCCGTTTTTAGAGCTTTTGACCTCTTTGAACTTTGATAACATCAATGAAGCTAATGCACTGGCGCAGGCGATCCCAGAAAATGTATTAAAGGAAATGAATTTGAGAGAAGCAGCATTTAAGGTGCATACATTTGTATAATATATACATATAGAATCACATACATACGTACATATGTAGGTATGTATGTACACAACACATCTTTAACTCAGTTTTCCTAAAAATATTTTAATGCATAATCCGACTAGCCATGATTTCTAGCTTGTCTATAGAAACCTTTAAACCAAGTATGAACGCATTTGATTTACGTTGAACGATTTATATTTACGCTGATGATTGTGAACGGGGCTTAATTTCTAAAGGAAAATGAAATGATTTTAATGTGAACTTAAGAATGCTTCCGAAAACAAGAGAGTGTTCGAATATCCTTGATGAATTATTCAATATTGAAAAGTAGACGCAAGCAGTCTAAAAGCCTGATTATGGCAACTTAACGTAACCTGGAACTTAGAAAATCCAAATGAAAAAGACTTCGGTTGTCCAAACATCCATTTAAGAGAATTTTTTAGTAACAACCTCTAAGCAACGTTAAGTTGCCATAATGAGACCTTAACGGCGCAGGGTCAAAGAAATGTACAGGGTGTGGCAAAGAATGTCATCCCAGTACCCAATATTTTTAACGCGTCGCCGATGATGTGTGTGGTCTCGAAGTGTCATGATAGAGCACAGCCTTCTAATCTCACCACACTGAGAGCCATAACCTTACACTGAGGAAGTTCTGCTTTTGAGAAACTTGAGGTGAATAATCTCGTCGAAACAAAGGCGTTTCCGTTCCACATTGTTTAGTTGTAAAATAGTTTTTTTTATTAATCCTTCAGGGTCAAATTCACAGTGCGTAGTTAACTGAGAATCGGCAGTAAACCGCAGATTTTCAGTACAAAAGTCTGCCCCCATGCTTCACTTTACTTATTTTCGGGGGATTGTCATACTATAGTAACCATACATTCATATAATTTTTTTCGCGCACAGGCTCGCATCAGCTGTGAGAGTACTCTGACCGAGTGCAAGTATCGTGATGAGCCTATACCCTGCTGTACCCACTTTGATACCGTCTATACTGAGCATGGGATGTGTTTTGCCTTTAATAGCCGTTTCAAGTCAGAGACGAAAGAAGAGTAGGTATTAACAAAAATAAATGTATGTGCGTAATAATATATGTATATATGTTTATATGTGTGTGTCTTATATTTTTATTAAACCTCGCATTGTAAGTGTCAGTGGCGCTGCACCGCATGATCTCTATGAAACGGATAAGAAATGGGCTTTGTTCTTTATACCAAATGGAACCGCAAATGTAAGTATGTACTTCGTTATGCACATTAGATAGTTGTGTCTATTAACGATTAATATTTCAGTCAAAAATCTCTTACTTACTTATAACTCACGCCTATTTTTTTTTTTTCTTTTTCGACAAGGTCTTTATTTTTTCAAATGAGGAATATTTTGGTCGCGATTTTAATGCACAAATCGAATGGGAAGATAATCAGAAGGTGGAAGCAAGAATCTCTAAAAAGAATACCTACACCACAGATGATGCTAGACAGCTTACAATCGGGTAAGCAAAAGAAAAAAGGTATAAAGTGAATTCTAATTAAACACACTGCTGCTGAAATTGCAGTCAACGGAAGTGCATATTTTATGACGAGGTCAAATTGCAGTACTTCCCAGAAGGTTACACATTCTCATCCTGCATGACAGAGTGTCGGATGAAAAGAGCAATCAAACTCTGTAAATGCAATCCACCATTTTATAAGCCAATACGTAAGTTTTTTGAGTTAGATAAATTAATTAATACATTCATTTGTACATATGTATGTAGGTATGTNAAGAACAGTATTTTTTTTTTGAAGTAGGTTAATCGTTTGGGGAAATACATTTTTTCGTAAAATTGCTTATAAAACCATTAAATGAAATATTTTTGATAGAATACGTGTATTTCCCTTCAGAGTTCTTAAAAAAATAAAATTATGGTGAATATTTAGTTTGAAAATTTTACTAACTATTTTTTCATAGCCGATGATCTTATCTCTTAAATACAAAAATGTGTATTTTATGTATTTTTTACTACAACACGCATGTTATAAAAAAAAAGTTAGTAAAATTTTAAAGTTAAATATGCATCATAATTTAATTGTTTGAAGATCTCTGCGAGGAACTAAACTTATTCCATCAAAAACATTTGATTTTAAAGGTTTTATAACAATAATGGTTTTATTCAATACATGTAAGACTTCAAGGCGGCACTGTTAAATATTAACCGATTTCAAAAGAAAAAATATACGGGTCTCCTTATTATCGTTATTTTTCAGTTCTGGGCGTGGTAGCGTGAAAATTCCAAAAGCTTGATTTTCCTATGTAATTTGTGGACCACCCTAATGTGCATATATTTCAAAGCTAAATTATTGCCGCTCATTTTCTTTTTAGCAAATGCTCCCATGTGTGGCGTATCCCATTTTTCATGCTTGGAAAAGTATAAAGTTAACATTACAAGTATAAAGAACTGTATGCATTGCGAATTAAGTTGCTCAAAAACTGTTTTCAATATTGAGAAGTTGATTAAGAGGTATGTGTGTGTGTATGGACAATTTATTTTGTACAATCTACGCTTTTCAAACAATCTCTCGATCTCTCCTTTCTATCTAAATTTTTTTTTTCAGCACGGAAAAGAACGACGATGACGGTGTTTTAGTGGAATTTCTTACTTGGCCCATTATACGTTATAAGCGTGAGGTACTCTTTGGTTGGGTTGATCTATTGGTCTCCTTTGGCGGCATAGCCAGTTTGTTTCTTGGATTCTCGCTGCTATCGGGTGTGGAAATTATTTATTATTTTACATTACGCGCTTGCTGCATGGTCTACAAAAATAGGGTAAGATCTCATCCATACATACATACGTACAAATATATGTATGTATATACATACAAAAATCAGTAGGCTTTCCTGCTTAAGCGGCGCACAGTGCCTTAAAACTGGAAAATTGATATCAAAACAGCGTGTAGACGTAGCGTAGTGATTTTAAATGTTATAAAAAATTTTCCCTAAAATTTAAATTTTTTATTATTAAAAATCAACCCAAACTTGCACTTTATTCTACTAAAATTTAAAATGATATAAAATTGCATGTCCTTAATTTTACTAAAATTTAAAAAAAAAATCATTTTAGAGAAAATTTGTTTACAAAATTTCAAACTTTTCTTGTGCATTTTCTTTCGTTTTGGCGAATCTTAATTGTTTTCAACTAGTTTTCATTACGGAACAATCTTTAACAAGAAGAAGAGAATCCGAGCTGCGTTTAGTACACCTCAATGTGATTAAGCGCAAGTAAGACTCCATGACTTACCATGATGACCACTGAGGTGTAGAAAATCTGTAGGATTATTCTCCTTCAGAGTATCCTATTGGCCCATCTCTCTTTTATCTCTAGAGAAAAAAACTCCTGAAGTGCTTCAGACTCAAGCGGTAACTGCACTTTTTTATGAACATAATCGCAGATAATTATGTACTACCTACTGGTTATCAGATTTCGACAGGAGGTGGATGGAAACTGTTGAGGAATGCCTGCACCTTCTTCTAAGCAAACACTAGGGATGGGTAAATTCGATATTCGAATTTTAAACGAATTTTAGCTCCAAAATGGCGAATTTTTGAAATCGAACTTTGTGTTGCTAAAATTCGGATAAAATCGAATTTTTCTAGAAAAAATCGAATTTCATCTCTCTTTCCAAAAAATCAACCTTCAACTTTCTTCTTTCCAGCCAATTTTGCCATCACTGTATGTGGCACTCCATTTTTCTTAGGGATGCAAGTAAAAAAATACATGTTTTTCGATCTGATGCATTGAGACAAAAAATCTGTGCCAATAAGGAACTGTTAATCCTTACTCAAATTAAAAAAAATTTTTGTAAAAAACTAATTTTTTTTGTTGATTTTTTATTTTAAATTTTTAGAGGCTTTTACGTTGGTAGCATGAAGCGTTTGCCTGAGAAGACCCCTAGTAAAATTTTCCGGAGAATAATTTTCTAGAATATATCAATCCTCTAACGACCTTAAGAAATTTCACTTCAAAAAATTTTTGGAAAATTCGAATTGAATCGAATTTGCACCACCAAATTTCGAATCGAATAATCGAATGGCTGGGCAATGTTCGAAATTCGGAAAAAATCGAATTTCAACCCTCCACTACCCATCCCTATCACACACTCTCCAGGTGCCACCGATCAGGCGCTGAATAAGGAACTCATAGAAAAGAGTGAGGTAGTTAGTTACAGCTGAAAAATTAATTTGGGCCATGTAGCCCTTTAAACCATATAAAACCCTTGGTCCAAAGAGCGTTTCACCGACTCAACTGGATATGTCGTATTCATAAGGCTCGGAAAACCTCTCACACTAATCCCAAAAATTTAAGACCGATAATTATATGCTTATTCCAACTCGGGATATTGAATCCTATATAAGGGCATCTGCCGCAAACAAAGTTATAAGCTCAGCACGCCTTTATGAAAGGAAGTCCTCTGAAACAGCGTTGCACAAAGTCAGGTCTCACATTAAGAAATCCTTAATGATAAAGTAGTACACACTGATAGCGTTCCGGGACATCGAGTGTGCTTTCAACAATATTACGCCTATGGCAATTACGACGGCTTAACGAACCTGAACAGCGACTTAGAGCTAGTCTAATTCATAAGCTAACTGTTAATAGGCAGAGTCGTTCGAGGGAAGCAAAGCTGAATAGATGTGTTAGTAGGGTAACTACGCAGTATGTAATCCTCCCTCTCTCTCTCTGTTGACGTCCTTGAAGTGTTTGTGAGTGAAAATTGTCCACAAACCCTGCACTAACTAAGATTGTTTGAAAGTTGAACGAAAAGAAAAACTGGCATGGCTCCTTTTCACATGGAAATCCTCCCTGTAATGAGCAATAGGACTAGGGTCAGGTGAATCCATTAAATACTTAGGAATGATTAGTACCAGACAAAAAGTTAAGACGGGCACAAAATATACAAGAAACACGGTCACGAAATCAACGGTAGCCCTCTACAACTGTAAGGCTGCAATTGAAGGGAGCTAGGGGCTGCTCCCAAACGTCATGCTTGTCATGTTGTTAGTCCTATTTTGCTCTACGGGGTAGAGGTCTGGTGGCCAAGCCGCAACAAGAAAAAGTGTAAAGAACTTCATTACTCTGCATTTGTGGGCTCTATGCCAATGTGGCCAGATCCACAGTTCTAACTGTAAATTACGGTTTTTTATACAAGCTTTTCGAAATTGCCAATTTTAACGAATAAATTAAAATTTCTCTTTCGGTTTTTCGTAAGTCAACTTTTGAGATAAATAGGGGACCATGAAGGAGCAGCTTTCTCTTATTTGAAACATTATTTTAGCTGTTATTTACAATCCAGATCGCCACAGAAAATGTGGAAAAAAATGTTCCCAAATCAATTTGAATAAAACCAGAACTAGAAATTCCAGCACTATCCGGTATTTTAAGCAGGGGCCGAGAACAAAAAGTAGGAACGAAACTAAGTTTCGTTCTTGTAGTTTTGTTCACCAAGATCGCTTAAAAACCAAATTAAAATGAGAACAAAACCTTCGGCAATGTTTTCACAAAAATGAATGTGAGAACAAAACTATCGAGAACATTCTCAACGAGAATTATATATGAACAAAACCCTGTAGAATGTTCCTAAAGAGAACAAAGTGCGAACAATACTTTCGGGAACATTTTTAAGAGAACAAAACGGGAACAAAAGTCTAAAGAACTTTCTCTCGAAGAACCATCGCGAATTTTCCGGTAGAGAACGAAACTGGGACAAATCTTCTCAGAACTATTCGCGAAGAATGAAAGCGAGAACAACATATTTCTCATAGCGTTCCATTAGTTTGAAATGTTTGAATACTAAAATTAGACAACAAAGAACTGAAAGATAACTGTGCAAATTAAGCCAACGAAAGACTTAAGACCCGAACTTTTCTTTCACAGAAAATAAAAAAAATGTTCCATAAATGAACAGTTCACCCTAATGGTGAACGATGTCGAAGTTGAAATGAGCCACCTTTCCTCTGGCTTAGAATTACCAATCATGGTTTTCACTGAAACGATGTTTCACCTTTTGTTCTAATTTTGTTTCCATTCAAAGTGGTCTCAGTACTTTTGTTCCCGTTTGGTTCTTTTGTGAGAACGTTCTTGACATTACATTTTGTTCTAATGCAGAACTAAACCGAAACCGAAACGCTTTTTCGGTCCCTGATTTTAAGTAGGAAAACGGCTCCATTCGGTGGTTTGAGTAGGAGGGTTTCGCGATCCGCGTGGTACCTCAATAGGTCAAAAAATATGGATCTAGGTGTGCTGTTGTGGCCACTATCAGCCACTTCAACCTAAACTAACCTCTAGCCTATGCCGGGTATAAATTTTTCATTTGAATTTGCATCTTTAAATAATTTAAATGTTTATGATTTTTTGTAAATTCCAGCAAGAACTATATGAAATCGAGGAGGAAATCAAACGTCGCCCGCCACCCGCAATCGATCTCTCACTACGTATTAAGCCTTATGTTTCAAAAACTCATCAACCTCTTGGGAACAAGGATGATACCCTAACTCATAATAACTTAAATAGCAATGAAAAAAATATCAACATGAACAACAAACGTAATAACTTCATTATGAATGCCACACAAAATGACAAGGAACTTAATAGGCGACGTAAGGCCGATAAGGTATGTTTCTATAAGAAAGTAGATCCCTATGAAATAATAAATTAATTAATAAAACTATCAGGACTATACCGGTTATTCGAAAGCACTCTACAAATCAAAGAAAATTATACCGCAGTACACGGATTCTAACAGCGACTGGCAATATGGACAATATCTACCATGAATTAAATAAGTATAAAAAAAATATATAAAAAGCTGCAATTGATATTACGATATCAGAAAACAAAAAAAAAATATTTGATAATGCATATATACCAAATCACTTTGAACATTAATAGTAATCTCTAAGATAAGAAAAGCAAAAAAAAAAATAACAAGTGTATCGCTATTAAATAGGTCGACATGGTTATTTGGACGTCATTGATATACATATTCAACTTTTAATACCTACAAATAAAGTTATTTATAGAAACGTTGCACTTGAAAAATGAAACAATAATGTTATTTATACTCAAATAAATATTTTAATTTAAAAATATATAAAAATTACAGCACTTCACCATTTCAATGAGATGATAGAAGTACGTACATACTAGGGATGCCAATTCCGGGATCCCGGTGTTTTAGAGATCACAAAAATTCCGGGATTTGCTTGCATTAATCCCGAGAACCCGAAAAATTAAAAAACATAGCGGGATAGCGAGATTACTTAAAAAATATCCCGAAATCCCGGGATCTCATTTATCCGCATATTTTGACATCCCTAGTACATACATACACTTTTAAGTTCATGCAATTTTTCCACTGAATAGGCCAGTGTAGCTACTTGAAGTGTTCTCTAAATTATAATAAAATTTAATTAATTTTAATTTTTTTTTTAATTTAAATGAATAAAAAATTTGAAACCTGATTAACCACAAAAACAGAAAAATTGGAATTTGCAACCCCTCGCTTTTGATAACTGCTAACCTCCTCTTTTTCATAATAGCGCCCGCTGCTGCTTTCGTGTTCAAAACATAGATGTCGTCCCAGTAGCTGAACAAAGAAGAAACGAAATAAATACAACATTCTGTTGTTGGAATGTGAAGGAAACGGTAAAACAGACGTTGGAGATAAGAGTGGGTAACTCAGCAAATTTATAGGAGTTGACTCAATGACTCCAACTCACTTTAAGGAGTCAGCTCATTCAACTAACTCATTTGACTCTTTGTATGTTACACTCATTCGTATCGTAGACTCGTTTTGAGGCATAGATGCGGTATAGCGGCCGTTGAGATAAAACAAAACTTTAAAGTGGGCGTGGTCAGCTCCTTTCTACTGATTTGAAAGGTGTAATTTTTTTTGTGTGCAAATTAATAGGGCGGTGCTAGGGGGAGGGTAAAGGTGGAATTTTCAATATTTTCAAAAGCTTATATTTCGAAACCTATTGTACCGAATTTCAAAATGTGGATATGGTTGGAAAGGCAATTGATTTGATATGCACATCTTTATATATCTTACATACATACATATTTCGAGAAAAACTAAAAAAAAAACGAAATTATAAGAATTTGTGAGATTTGACATAACACCCGCAATACAAAATACATGTGGTTGTTGTTGTTGTATTCTTGCCACCACCTTGTATAAATTCGCCTCGTGCAAAAACAAAATGCAAGACTTTGCCATGCTAAACACTGTGGCGAAGCGAGAGAGTTATATGGACAAATATGAGCCACTATGATTCAATTGATTCATGTGAGCCCTACGGCATCAACTGAGTTACTGAGTTACATTTTTTTTGGACAGGGAGTCTGAGTTACCGATTCACTTATAGGAATCAACTCAATAACTCAACTCTGAGTTGAGTTACCCACCTCTAGTTGGAGAAGCTAAAAAAAAATTCTACTTGAAATAAAGTGAAATTTTAAAGAAATTTGATTTATTTACAAATTGAGAAAAACTGCGCCTAAGAAAATAAATTTATTGGAATCTGAAAGCTTCGGAAATATTGAACGATAAGTGTTAAGAGAATAGCGATTCTGCATTTTGGCTGGTTGGCAATTTCTTATTTTTTTACCACACAAATTGTGAAACTTCGCGGAGCTCAGTGGCATTTTGCTTGTTAATTAATAACAGCACCGAAAGCTGGTTAAATTCAATTCGCGTAAGCGTTAAGTAAAAACACTCACTGTGGAATTGCGCATAAATACATATATCGTGTGCAAATCGGTGAGAAAATTATAAAGGAATCGACGCCTATCAGCCAGGGGTAAACGAGGAACGGAGATGCCCTTTTATGGACTATATGTGCCTGGAAAGGAAGGTAAACAAATTAAAACATTTGATTTTACTTTGAAGTTATGCGAAAAAAGTTTTAGAAAACTGAAAATGGACGTGAGGATATTTTTTGTGCATTTTATAAGGTTAGGTTCAAAAAGTCCCACACAGCAACTTGTAAATATGTATGTAGGTACGTGTGTTTCCAACGAATTCATCTATAAATATTAATGTAAATAATAAGTATACATATCTATGTACCCTTGCAGTTCATTGCTCCTCGGTAATATTTATTTTATTATTACTGCCCGGACAATTCAACCATATTTGTTGTGATGGAATCATCTTTGCATATACCGATCGGAAAGGTGCAGGCATTATTACAACTTCAGTTAAAATCTTCACAGTTTATTTGCAAAGTACAGACAGTAAATTACTGATAAATGAACAATGTACAAAATTTTTCAACCAAGTCACATTAAACAAGATACCACTGAAGAACATAAAACAAAATACATCGTATTGAAACAAATTTTACCTACAAATTAGTTGTCACTTTGTCACTTTTACCTTATTGAATATATACCTACTGATTGTTGTTGTAACAGCATACAAATCGCCCAAAGAATTTTTGGCAAGTGATGCTGGAGTAACAATCCTGTAAAACCTATTTTATTTTAAAACGGCTCTCCCTTTTATGCCCAGGTATCTATATCTCTTATATCTAAATATCGATACTTTGGTATGAATGAATAAGGTTTGATGTCAGGAGCTTCCGGTGAGCAACTCTCATTTTTGGGACAAATGTCAGTTACGAGGTTTTGCGGAACCAAGATACCTACTCGGGTTTTGTATTTTAAATGACGATTTGAACGTTAATCTTGGTTGTTCCGGTTACGTACACCCGACTGTCGTGGGAACGATTATGTACTGATCTTCCCTAGCGTTGTCGTAGGTGGTCCTGCGGTCTTGAATGCAGTCCATGGAGAAAAAAGAATGGGTCATTGAATTACTTAGTATTTACCCTTTGAAGTTAAAAAGGTGGGAGGTGTCATGTCCTTAATTTTATTTTTTTACCAGCCTCAAACTAACCTGCAATCCAACCTTATAGAAATGCAAAATAAAACTTTAATGGATACTTAACCGTGAGTAGCCATGCGATCGATTTTAGTCACTAACTGCACTGTTAATGTATCTGTAAAAAAGTGAAAAGAAAGAATGTTTTGTACTTTCCCAGAAAAGCAGGTGCAATGAATATGTTTTCATTGTCTGGGAAATCTTGCCACTAACATACATACATATGTATATACGTACTATGCATATGTGTACATACCTATAGAAATGTAAATAAGAATCGCAATTTGTTTTGTTTGAAAATTTGAAATTGTAAATCGATGGCTGAATGAAAGATCGATCCATCTGGGCAGCCAATTCGAAAACGCCCTATCTCAGACAACTTTTAAAGAATGCCCTTCCCCCGGATTTTGATTGAAGGACGCTCTATTTCAGAATTTGAAGAACGCCCCATAACAGAATTCTTCACAAAAACGCCCTATCTCAAACGAAAGTACATAGAAAATGCGCTGAGATAGAGCGTTTTAGAATCGGCAGCTGAGATAGGGCGTTTTCGACCCAATTCTGAGATAGGGCGTTTTTCAATAAAATTCTAAATTAGGGCGTTCTTCAACCAAATTCTGAAATTGGCCGTTGTTGAAAATTTTTCTAAGATAGGGCGTTTTCAGACTGCCAGCCGAGGTAGGTCGATCTTCCACTCAGCCATCGAAATACAAATATATTCAGCTAATTTGCTTATGAAAATTAGTTTTTATTAAACTAAATTTTTCATTGTCATACTCGCTTTACAATAATGGCTGCATTTCTTTATTCATTCTGAACGTTTTGAAGATTGGATTATCCGGAATGTATAAAGAAACGCAGCCAATATGTTCATATACATATATTTTTTATTTATCGAGTTTATTGCTCCTTATCAGAACAAAAAAAATATACCGCGATTGAGAATAAAGTAATATTTATGTATGTCAGTAAGCAAGAAAGCTTTCACAAGAGACATAAAATAAAAGGCACATTAAAAATAGACTTTTGTTGGATGCATAAAATAATGGCATTATTTTTTTTTTTTTATAATCGTAGTTTTCTAATTTTTAATGTAAAATATGAATGGTCTATCAAACATTTAAGCAATTGTTGTTGGTGTATAATAAGTGTTCATATCTCAGTTCGTATGGTAACGCCTTGCACATGACACCAATTGTCGGAAAGCGCACCCTAAAATATCAAAGATGGTATCCTCACAGATATACCTCAAATACTTGAATTACAATAAATATTCAGTACCATACATATGTACATAATAAACTACAGGAAAAATGCTATTTGTTTACATACAACTTATTTCGGTTGCTTTTTCTAAGCCCTGCCGATTAGAAAACTGAGTGTGTTCAATAAGCGTAACATGGAGATGACGTGATGAAATGCTAATTAATGACGAAGAGGCGCGCCGCCGTACACAATTACTACAATATCTCCACAACTACATACTTTTGTTTTCGGTTTTGCGACAAGCGGAAAAGTCTATTATGGAAAAATATAGAATTCGTAGTAATGAAAATATACATATAAGTAAATAGCATCTTTGTAAATTAGAGCACAAAATAACTACATGAACAGATTTGGCCTTCACTGCGGATGCTAGCCTGCCCGCTAAAACCATTTTTTTTGAAATATCATCGAATGAAATATGTGGAAAGCTATTATGTTTACTCAGTTTGGATGAACGTAAAACCAGACATAAAAATATCAAACCCCAAATGCCCTTAACGCCTATAATTAACAAGTCGTTGACGCGTATTTGTTTATGCTATCCGTCATAAGTTTAATGTTTTTGTTTTGGCTCTTCCTTCTTTACTTATGGCTCAACTATACATATTTCCATACAATACATGTATAGGAAACATTCTAATCTCGCACCTGCTTTTCGCTCGCTTACACTATGTATACGATTTTCAAAATTGTTGAATGAAAGCGGTCGGCACAATTTTCCCATTCGATTGGCCGCGCTTACGTATGCGGCAATTCGAAATTTTTGAAAAATTGCCAACATTCGGAAGTGTCGTAAAAAAACACGCGATTTTTGTGTTGCATACTAGCGAAAAAAAAATATACTTTTCGTTTGTATGACATAATTTTTCAACATTGCTTATTAAAAA